CTAGTCGCTCACAAAGTAGAACTTTTTGCTCACAAGACTCCTCAGCTTAGAGGGAGCGTTGCAGAGCGCCCACTGGCACACCGCAGGCCCGTTACTTTGTTGAGAGAAGCAGCACTGTCTGCGTGTGCAGCGTCTTCCTGGAGCATCTGTTGGTGATTAATATTTTCATTTTGCATGTGGAGGAATGTAAACGAGAGCCAAAATGGGTCGTTATGTGCCCATCATCGGCACAAGTGCTTCCTTAATACGAATTATTTATATGAGACGAGGCTTCTTTTCATTCCAGCGGTACCTCGGCTGGTTTTGCCAGGCTGCTCGATGAATGGGGGGGCGCGCGCACAAATGCTCTTTCCTCGCCCCTGCCGGAGCTGTCAAGGAGTGGGGTCAGGATGCTGAATGCGGAAACGTTTCAGGCGCCTGATTCAAAAGCAAAGGGATATTTTTTAAAAACCCATTTTATTCAAAATAGTTTTCACGTACAGACACTCCAATCCTGATGGCCGTTGGCAAACGGTAGAGTGCGGTATTCCAAAGTTCAAGGAATCCGAGCGATGCGGATTCCGGTGGCAGATGTGAATTGCTAAGAGATCATCCAAAGCATCAACACTAATTATTATTATACATGAACACACGCATATTAAGTGTTGTGGCGGTGCTGCGTGGATATTCATATATTGTAGTGTCGATGCAGTTGACAGTTTCTTCGCACATCCCCCACATGCTGCTGGCGGCGGCATTGTTATCGCTCTTCCGATCCTGCAGACGCGTTTCCTTTGGAAGGTGATGTTAATGGGCGTGGTTTATAAACCTGAGGGTGCGCACGCAAACTGGGTCGTTGAGAGTTCAGAGGAATGAACACACGGACCTGCCTTACACCGAATTGGACCATCAAGGTCTGTATCATCTACTCAGGCGGAGATCTTTCGTATCGGCTACTGACTGCTCCTTTTAATTGGACTGGACCTAGGACCTTCTGCACGCTGATGCCGAACCAACGAGCCACTGGCCCCTCCACTCAGTTTACTGTCTCATTTAGAGTACCTCTGCTCTCACACAAATTTGTGTTTTGGGCTCACGGTGGATATCTTTCGGTTCCACTTCTACAGCTGTATATCGCAGGAGCTGATGGCAGAGACATTTAGGAACAGGATAGCAACACGGAGCTGCCAATGAGAACTGTAGCTCCTCCGCGTCAAGCCTCCGTTCCCCATATAAAGTGCACTATACACTATACGGAAACGTCTTCGGACAGCGCTGGCTCTTCAGCTTTGAAGCGGAGATGAGCACCGCAACCCTAGAGTCGGACTCGACTGGCTTTCGAGCAAGGGAACCTTTACCTTTACTTTATACATTATTTTGCTCTTCATCTTGTGTATTCCCCAGTTCCCCATCACCGGCTGTTGCTCAAATAGGTTCAGTGTAACAATCTCGACTCAGGACTGCCGTTTTAAGTGGCAGCCACATTTTCAACGTACAACCGTGATGTTGTATTATGAAAAATTAGTTGGGCTTCAGTTCTACACTGAATATATTTCTTCATCACATTATGAAACCATGCGCATACACACGACGGGAAATGCATATAAACCGCTTCACGTCACAGCTTTTTCCGAGTGTGCTGCGTGAACCTGCACTGAAAAGAATTTGTCTCAATGAAACGGAAAAATGTTAGGTGTTAACTCACGGATGAGTATTGTTGATATGTAAACAAGTGCCATTCGAGTGGGGTTTATAGAAGCCCCCCTTAGGTTGGTAGCAGGCCAATCGGATAGAATCAAGGCACAATTTCTCCTTACTTCACGAGATCCGGAGATCATTGAACTGACCGCTAAGTTTCTCCATTGTTTTATAAAACGGAAGAGTGACCCTGATCCTATTAATGATTCTTAATTTATAAGTCTAAAAACTTAAGTTTAAAAGTTTAGTGATTCAGGCATCTTTTGTATGGTCAAATCTAGCTTGTGACAACTTGAGTTAGGCCTCACATAGCCACGACTATCTATTTTATAATTTCTTTTGGATTGTATTATTGGGAAATGCTTCTAATATGGTATGCCAATAAAAGGTATTTGTATTTGTTGTATTTGTAAAACAAGTGCCATTCACTATCGGGCTGGAACTGTATAGCCAAATGATGCTGTTTCAAGCTGTACCCATTGTTTTAATCGTTATAACGTCTTATAGTGTTTTAAACTGAAACTGTACTTATTATAATGATGCTGCCCGACCTGCAACACTGCTCTTAACTGAAGGAATATTTCATTGGGAACTCAGGAGAATATATAGTTGACCAGAGAGAAGTACCACTGGACATGTGATTGCACTGGAGGTTTCATTTGTATTTTTGCCCAGTGGTTAAATTCTGGAACAATTGTGTTCCGGTCTTTATTTCATATTTTGTATATGTTTGATTGTATATATTTTTACATATTAGTCAATATGTTCTATTTGCATTAGACCTCCGAGGAAGGCCTGTGAAGGCCGAAACGCATTAGGTCTATTTCATCAGCCTTTGTGTTTTTATACTTGTATATGAGGTATGAAGGAGCTGCGGTGGCTCAAGTGGTTAAGACGCTGAACTGCAGGCTGTGGAAGGTCAGTAGTTCAGCAGTTCAAGACCCGGGTGCCGCATGATGGTGTGAGCTCCCATCTCTAGTTCCAGCTCCTGCCAACCGAGCAGTTCGAAAGCAAGAAATTGCAAGTAGATAAATAGGGACCACTTCGGTGGGAAGGTAACAGCGTTCCGTGCGCCTTGGTGTTTAGTCATGCCGGCCACATGACCACGGAAATGTCTTCGGACAGCGCTGGCTCTTCGGCTTGGAAACGGAGATGAGCACTGCAACCCTAGAGTTGGATTCGACTGGCTTTCGAGCAAGGGAACCTTTACCTTGACTATGAGGTATGAATGGGCCCTTATTTGTGATTTTAATTTGTGTTTAATAAATACAGGTATATTTTTGTATGTTTCATAATTAGATTTTTAGAGTTGGCCCTCTTCCATTCTTGACTAACCTTTTTAGGTTCTGAATTCTAGGTTTTAGGTTCCGTTTTCCCCCCCTTTCCCCCTTTTTTTCCTTGTTGCCCGACCTGAGCCCATCCGTGGGATGGGCGGGATATCAATGCAAATAACAAATACATCAAATAAATAAATACTACAGTTCTGCGGGGCCTGTAAAACGGAGCTGTTCCACCAGGCTTTCAGCTGAGGAGGCAGCCACCCCAATTAGTTGGGCTTCCTGCAGAGAAGCTGCCCTGCCTACCTGCCCTACGCGGAGACCTGGTATTACATGACCAATATTGGTGTGACTCCAGTTACCATCAATCTGGCTTACAGGGGGTCTGAACTGTTCTATTTGATTCGCCACCTTCTGTTTAATGGTTTTAGCTGTTTTAAGAATCAATTTATGTTACCCGGTTTTAACTGTTCGTGCATTTTGTGGTTACCCGCTCTAAGCCCATTTTGGGAAGGGCAGGATAGAAACTTAACAAATGAATAAATAAATGAGGGGGGGGCAAGAGCCACTTTGCCCCTGAAGGCATACCTGCTAGAGCCCTCTTCCTTGACACAGGTGGAACCAGCAGCCCCCCCCCCCCCAAAAAAAATCTATTCAGTTTTGATGAATATTCAGTCTTGCTGAAGTAATGGGAACTCAATGAAATTGCTGAGCAGTCGGGTTAGAATGGATAAAAGGAAGTACTTCTTCGCCCAAAGAGTGATTAACACATGGAATTCACTGTCACGGGAGGTGGTGGCAGCCACAAGCATGAATGGCTTCAAGAGGGAATTAGCCACAAGGTATAGATAGGAACTCTCTGTCTGGGGCAAGGGATACTCTGTATTCTTGGTGCTTGGGGGGGGGGCAACAGTGGGAGGGCTTCTAGTGTCCTGGCCTACTGCTGGATCTCCTGGTGGCTCCTGGTCTTTTTGGCCACTGTGTGACAGAGTGTTGGACTGGATGGGACACTGGCCTGATCCAACATTGGCTTCTCTTATGTTCTTATGTCTAGGGCAGGGATGTTCTGTCTTCTTGGTGCTTTGGGGGGGGGGCAACAGAGGGAGGGCTTCTAGTGTCCTGGCTCCACTGCTGGACCTCCTGGTGGCACCTGGTCTTTTTGGCCACTGTGTGACACAGAGTGTTGGACTGGATGGGATATTGGCCTGATCCAACATTGGCTTCTCTTACGTTCTTATGTCTAGGGCAGGGATGCTCTGTCTTCTTGGTGCTTGGGGGGGGCAACAGTGGGAGGGCTTCTAGTGTCCTGGCCCCACTGCTGGACCTCCTGATGGCACCTGGTATTTCTGGCCCCTGAGTGACTCAGAGTGTTGGCCTGATCCAGCATTGGCTTTTCTTATGCATATGCTCTTATGCTAAAATATAGATGGCTCCGAGGCGGCTGCTCGGAGACCAGGGAGACCATCACAGAGATCTGTGGAAAAGTGACCCATTTCAGAGGAGGAGGCTGCGGCTTTTATTGATTTTTAAATTATAGGATTGGTTTCTTACTGCTGGTTTTATTGCTGATTTTACACCCGACTGCAGTTAGGCCGCTGCTGCTTGCCATTATTTTACTGGTAGTTTCGTTTGGTTTCCATTTGTATTCTTCTTTGCCTTGAGTCAAAAGGTGGCCCCACTGCTGGACCTCCTGATGGCACCTGGTATTTTTGGCCGCCATGGGATGGAGTGTTGGACTGGAGGGGCCATTGGCCTGATCCAACATTGGCTTCTCTTATGTTCTTACGAACATGAAATTGAGCAAACTTCAGAGTACGGCGGAAGACAGGAGGGCCTGGCGGGAGCTGGTCCATGGGGTCGTGAAGAGTCAGACTCGACTGTGTGACTGAACAACAACAAATGTTCTTATGTAGGACAGAAATTCCTTAACTACACAGACCAAGATATAGAGCTCGTGCCACTTGCACTAATTCACCGAAGCTCCTCTGCCAGAATTGGAATTGCAGCACTTACTTGACCAAACGGAAAGAAGCCCCTGCGACTTACCTCTGTGTAAAATCTTTAAGCTCCACAAATACGTCAGACCTTTAACAACCTGCAGGCAAGGCAGAGAGAGAGAGAGAGAGAGAGAAATTAAGACAAGCCTGTTATTTTGCTGCTTACTCGTTTCTGTTAGGGCAGCATTTCCACACGGAAAACCTTCCCAGCAAACTTTGCCACCGCGACCAGAGGCAGACGAGCCAAGCCGCACCCACAGCACTGCCGGATCCAGTTGGCAGTGACCACGGGCAGAGAGGTCACGGCCACTGCAGAGCCACTTGGTGGTGCGGGAGACAGCAACGGGCAAGTCAGTGCGGTGTCGTGGTTAAGAGCGGCGGACTCTAATCTGGAGAACCGGGTTTGGTTCCCCACTCCTCCTCAATATGCAGCCAGCTGGGTGACCTTGGGCCAGTCTCAGAACTCTCAGAGCTCTCCCAGCCCCACCTGCCTTACAGAGTGGGGAGAGGAAGGGAGAGAAATTGTAAGCTGCCTCGAGACTCAGAGTAAGGAGCGGGGTATAAATCTAATAATGATTATTATATCCAACCGGTGCACCACCAGGGCTATTTTTGGGCAGGAACGCACAGGAGCGGAGTTCCGGCTGGCTCCCAAGTTGGCCACACCCAGCAGGAACTCATTAGCATAATAGGCAACACCCAACAGCAGGAAGTCATTAGGATTGGCTACATTAGGGGTGTGTGGCCTAACATGCAAAGGAATTCCTGCTACAAAAAAAGCCCTGGGTTTGGACAACAAACAAGGTAAACAGAATAAGAAGCAAAAGGTGGGTGTGGCTGGATGACCACACTTCTGGTAACATGGGGATGTGGCCTAATATGACAATGAGCTGTGCTGTCAGGGGTGTGGCCTAATATGCTAATGAGTCTCTGCTGTTGTGTGTGGCCTATTATGCTAATGAGTTCCTGCTGGGCTTTTTCTACAAAAAAAGCCGTGTGCGCCACCAATTGCACTGGGTACCAATTGAGTACCGGATCCGCTTCAAGGTATTGGTGCTAACCTTTAAAGCCTTATGCAGCCTGGGACAGAGATATCTAAGGGACTGCCTCCCCCCATACGTGCCCCGGAGAGCCTTGTGCTCTGCAGATCATAGAACCATAGAGTTGGAAGGGACCTTCAGGGTCCTCTAGTCCAACCTCCTGCACGATGCAGGAAATTCACAAATATCTCCCCCTCCACACACCCGGTAGGGTTGCCAGCCTCCAGGTGGGGCCTGGGGATCTCCCGCTTTTACAACTGATCTCCAGCTGACAGAGATCAACTCCCCTGGAGAAAATGGCTGAAGGGCGGGCTCTCTGGCATTGTACTACGTTGAGGCCACTCCCCTCCCCTCTCCAAACCCCGCCCTCTCCTGGCTCCACCCCCAAAGTCTCCAGGTATTTTCCACCCCAGACCTGGCAGCTCTCGCCCCCAGTGACCGCTGTTCCACACCCAAAAGATGACAAAAAAAACCCCTCCAGGGTCTCCAGCCAAACTGGCCTGGAGGAAAACTGCTTCCTGATCCCAAAGTGGCAATCCGCATTTCCCTGGATAACCACCTGCTGGTTGTCCCCGGCCCGAAAGACGCTCCCCTAGCCTCAACCAGGGCCGGGGCCTTCTCGGTCCTGACCCTGGCCTGGTGGGACACGCTCCCGGCTGAGATCAGGGGCCGGTTACAGTTTCACAGGGCCTGCAGAACGGAGCTGGTCCGCCAGGCCTCCGGTCAAGGCAGCAGGCGTCTACCGGCTGGCCTCCCAGTCGCTGTGTCAAGTAGGCTCCTACGAATACGGCCTTTATGGCTCAACTTTCGGCCCAGTCGTTCCTGGCTGCAGGGACTGAAACTGGAATTTGCTGCCCTGCCCACTTTAACTGTTTTTAGCTCGCTTTATTGTGTTAATATTTGACATCTATTTACTGAATCATTTTAGACTGTACTGGAATTTATTGTTGTGACCTGCCCTGTGCCTGCTTGTGGGAAGGGACTCAGGGCTCTTTTTGTAGCAGGAACTCCTTTGCATATTAGGCGACACGCCCCTAATGTAGCCAATCCTCCAAGAGCTCACGGAGCTCTTCTTACAGGAACTCCTTTGCACATTAGGCGACACGCCCCTAATGTAGCCAATCCTCCAAGAGCTTACAGAGCTCTTCTTACAAGGGCTACTGTAAGCTCTTGGAGGATTGGCTACGTTAGGGGTGTGGCGCCTAATATGCAAGGGAGTTCCTGCTACAAAAAGAGCCCTGCCGTGGGATATAAGTCGAAATAATAAATAAATAACAACAACAATTATGATCAGTGTTCCCTCTAAGCTGAGTTAGTGTGAGCTAGCTCACAGTTTTTTAGCCTCCAGCTCACACATTTTTGTCTTGGCTCAGGAAGGATGGCTCATGAGCAAACTAATTTATGCAGGAGCCCAATCGCTCGCTCACAACTTTAATGCCAGTGGCTCACAAAGTAGAATTTTTGCTCACAAGACTCCACAGCTTAGAGGGAGCGTTGATTATGATGATGATAATTCATCGATGCTGCCCCCTAGGCTAAGCCTAGCCACTCCTGCAGAGCTAACAGTGCGGCTGGGGCTTGCCTTGTTCCCCCCCCCCCCAAGCCAACAAACCTTCCAGGGCAGGAGTCCCCGGGGAACTTCCGTGGTAAGTTAAAAACCCAATCCCACCCCAGATTGCTCCTATCTTCCCAACTCAGAGTCTGGAAACCCCAACGTTTTATTTTGGGAAAACAAAGAAAGCCGTTCTTGTGGATTCTGAAATGCAGCAAGCAAACGTCCTATCCGGTCCTTTTCGGTGGAAAAAAAAGGTGATTTGTAAAGCAAGACTGAGGCCTCCCGAAAGGATAACAGAAGCGGGGTACGTGCAAAAATCCCGTGTATATCCATTTCTGCCCCTGAACACAATGGGTGGGGAAGCCTCTTTGTCCTCCCTGAGTGTGCGCAACAGAAGCAGAAGTCAGGAAGCCGCGCCGCACCACGGAGGCGGCTGCATCTCTCCGCTTGCTAGAGCAGAGGCACGCCGTTTGCATTGATTTTTAATTATGGATTTTTAACAACAAATAGAAGAATGCTCCGCAGGCAAGGGGACAAAAACACAACCCCTCCAAGTTCATAAAAAGCTTTTGTAGTGTGGCATGCCTTCTGAATGAGCCGTTATAAAAAGCACACAGTTAACCAAACAAGAGATTGCTTTGCATTTCAACTTTTCCTTTTTTAAAAAAAGAGCGTTTCACAGCAACAAGTCCCACGGTGCCCCATAACCCCTGGTACATTGATCAGAAATCACGGCTATTCACCGCCGCTGAACGAGAGGCCATTTTCCAATTCAGAATGCAGACAGAAAGGTATTAAGCATTATGTTAAAGAGATGCTGCCATAGAATCTCTTTTGATTGAATACCCCAGAAGGTATTGCTGGCACTCAGGAAAGCAGGTTTGACAACAATGACGTGACAAAGCCTTGACACAAAAAGTAGTTATACCTGCTGTCAATCATTCGTTCTCTCTCGACAGCTTAAGTGCATATCTTTTGCAGGGGGAAAAAAACTTCAATCAACATTAGCACTCAAAAATATGGTGTCACTGCTTCAGGAATGGAGAGGAAAATAAACATGTGAAGTGGCAAGCAAAAGGTAACTTTGCAATGTTTGGTGGTCCAGATCTGGCTTAAACAAAAACACTGGAGGGGTTTGCTGGGCATACAAGGCGCTCTCTCTCTCTCTCTCTCTCTCTCTCTCTCTCTCTCTCTCTCTCTCTTTTGGCTGTGAGCACCTAGGAGCCAATCTGCTGTAGATTCACAACAGCTCCTCCCCTGCTGCAGATTTGGTTAGTCTTTAAGGCGCTACTCCCTCATGGATGACTGCCTTGTCATGGCGAGGGGGCTTGCGGGGTTTGATGAAAACTAAGATCCTGGCATCCGGCCCCATCACTCCTTGGCAAGCAGAAGGGGAAGTCGTGGAAGTAGTGACAGACGTCACGTTCCTGGGATCCCAGATCACCGCAGACTGTGACAGCAGCCATGAAATTAAAAGACGCCTGCTCCTTGGGAGGAAAGCGATGGCGAACCTAAACAGCATGATAAAAAGTAGAGACATCACCCTGCCAACAAAAATCCGCATGGCCAAAGGAATGGTATTCCCAGTAGTCATGTATGGCTGCGAGAGTTGGACCGTACGGAAGGCCGAGCGCCGAAGAACAGAGTCTTTTGAAGAGTCTGGAGAAGACTCTTGAGAGTCGCTTGGACTGCAAGGAGATCAAATCAGTCAATCCTAAAAAAAATCAACCCTGACTGTTCCCTGGAAGGCCAGATAATGAAACTGAAGCTCAAATACTTTGGCCACCCAATGAGAAGGGAGCACTCCCTGGAGAAGACCCTGATGCTGGGAAAGACTGAAGGTCAAAGAAGACGGGGATGGCAAAAGATGAGATGGTCAGACAGTGTCATAGATGCAACGAACATGAAATTGAGCAAACCTCAGAGGACGGCGGAAGACAAGAAGGCCTGGCGGGATCTGGTCCATGGGGTCGCGAAGAGTCGGACTCGACTGTGCGACTGAAGAACAACAAAGGTGCTACTGGACTCTTGCTCTTTTCTAGAGCAATCTTAAGCGGAGTCCACAAAAGTCAACGGGTTTAGAACTGACTGATTCTGCTTAGGAATGTACTAGAAGTTACACTGGAAATGGATTTGGAGGAACCACTTGACAACATTCTCTTGATTTCTAGCTTTCCTTTGCATAAATATTTTCTCCTCGAATGAATTCCTAACAAAGGAAGATACTGAATTTAGGGATTTTAAAGAGGAAAAGAAACAATTTTTAAAGGAAAAAGGAAATAGACGCTGTCGTATTCGGCAAGCTGATACGTCATGCTTTAGGATGCACCAGCAAGATCCAGCTGACAGGCTCCTGGGTACATCCCTGGTATTTTGGGAAACTCCGTGTGCAGACAGACATTGACCAAGTAGTTTCCTTTCTTTAAAATTCCACCAATCACTTCCTGAAGTTGGGGAGAGGAGGCTAGACAGTTTGAACTGCCTTTCCCCGCTGCCACATATCTTCTCATTCTGCCCATTTTCCATTGTTCTCATTCCCAAATCATTTCTTTTATAGACATTTTTAGACATTTGGGATTAAAAGGGTGCCAATTCCAACAGTAATAATCCAACTGAGTTTCATTAGCATGGACGGGGGGGGGGGGGGACACACACACACACGACTAGTGCAGTTTCATCCTGAGCAGAAGAGCAGGTTGTTATATCCTGCTTTTCTCCACCTGAAGGAGTCTCAGAGCGGCTTACAATCTCCTTCCCCACAATGGGCACCTTGTGAGGTAGGTGGGGCTGAGAGAGTTCTGAGAGAGCTGTGACTGGCCCAAGACAGGGCTGCCAGGTCCCCCGGGGGGAGCGGGGGTTTGCCTGCTCAAAGGGCCGCCGACCCACTGGTCTGGATCCAGCCAGCGGGGGGGGGGGAGCCCCGCCCCCCAAGTGTCCAGATCGGGCTGACATGCCCGGCACGATGATGTTACCCGGAGGTGACGTCATCCCGCTGGGCATGTCACTGGGGGGACAGGATGGGATGCTCTAGCGTTCATCCTGAAAACTCCATGGTATCATAGAGTTTTCAGGATGAATGCTAGAGCGTCCCCGGCGACATGCCTAAAGTGATGACGTCACTTCTGGGTGACATCATCACGACGCGCACGTGAAATGTCCTGGAACAGGAGCTTCCCCCCCTGCTAAAAGTAGGTCAGGGACCTGGCAACCCTTGCCCAAGGTCATCCAGCAGGTGTCACGTGGGGAAGGAGTGGAGAATCAAACCCGGTTCTCCAGATTAGAGTCCGTGGCTCTTAGCCACTACACCATGCTGGCTCTCAGGGAGAACCCAAGTCAGAAACTGGGGTATCAAACGCGTATGAAATCTGGTAACGCCCCTATACTTTTCTCCATGTTTCTGTGCGCACAGCTGCTCCACATTTGCCATCCTGAACCAGAGTGTTATGATTAAAATTTTCTCAAAAAATCCAAGTCAGATGCCAAACTATTAATGGCTCAAGGGCCACTGGAAATACAAAATTCTCACAAATTTCACATCCATGCACATTTGCATTTCGGCTTTGCCACCGGCGCAGGTCGATCCGGGACGAGCCATAAGCTGGCTACCGTCAAGATGCGCAGGGCACTGGCAACAACAAAGAAGTCTTGCGTTTATCACAACCTAGATCAACAATTGTTATGAATATCGTACAAATCTTCCAGGACAGTGAAAATGAAACACTTTTCTTCTCGACTTAAAAAAAAACAAAACACCACCCAGCCAGCCAAGAGTTTTCCTAGACCACGGGAAGCGGCATGGGGCCTGAAAAACAAGCCCATTTGGAACCGCTCCAAAGACAGAGCATCAGATGAAAAGACTGTTCGGCTGCGCCAGCAGCTAAAGCAGAGAGAACGAAGCGGAGCCGCGAATTACAATGAAAGGGGCCCAAATAGCTGTCTGTATTAGATTAAAGGGCTTCCGCTGTCAGCTTGATGTATAATGAGCGTGGAGAACGGGCATTTAATTAAATGGTACATTACAGAATAACTTTGTTATGCTTAAACCACTTAAGACTATCAAAGCCCTGATTCAGATATCGCAATTGTTCGGCAACACCACGCCCCCGTGACAGTCAACCAAGACTTTGTTCCCATTGGCACCAGTTTACGGATTATGACACAGTCTCCCCCAACTCGGTGAGCTCCCCTCGCCATCAGAATCCTGACCGACTATCTGGATGGAGAAGACAAGCCCCCTGTCTAGATCTGCGCGGATTTGGTGTATCTAACATTCCAAGTGTAGAACTAGTCCCGGGGTCTATTTTGGTGGCGGAGGCTTTATGGGAGAGCCGACACAGATACGTTCAGGGGTCATTTTGAGGGGGAACGAGCAGGAGCGGTGTTCCGGGAGTAACAAGCCCAGGAGTAGGGAACCCAGGCCTGATGGCCTGCCTGCCCTTTGCTTCCCATCTGGGGAAGGGAAAGAAAGGCATTTTAAGCATTTTAAGATATGGATAGTTCATCTTCTGCAGCTACTTCCATGTCTTTGGGTGAAATCTTTGACTCTGACTCGGATGTAGGAGCTGCGGCCCCTAAACCTTTTAAAGTAAATCTCCCCTGGCAAAAGAAGAAGAAAACCAAAGCTAAGAAGAAATCTAAGTGAAGATCTGAGATTACCTATGTTGACATTTAATTTACTTATATTCTCAACCAGATGTGATGTAGTATCAAAAATGCCTTTATGTTCTTTCTATCTGAACACTTTTATTAGATTTTAAAGAACTGAATGTAGTTTTTAGCATGTAGACATATACCCAAAGCATTTGATTAGCCTATCAAAGGTTCTTGTTACTCTTTGTAGTTTTAGTTTTGTAGGGTATAGTTTTTGTAGTGTGTAGGAAGAAAAGCAATAAAAAGTGTGTGTGTGTGTGTGTGTGTGTGTCAGTGTTCCCTCTAAGCTGAGTTAGTGTGAGCTAGCTCACAGTTTTTGAGCCTCCAGCTCACGCATTTTTGTCTTAGCTCAGGAAGGAGGGCTCCAGGGCAAACGAATTCATGCAGCGGTCAAATCGTTCGCTCACAACTTTAACGCAAGTCGCTCACAAAGTAGGATTGTCGCTCCCAAGACTCCACAGCTTAGAGGGAACATTGGTGTGTGTATATATGGATGCGACAGTTCTCAGAGCTCTCTCAGTCCCACTGACCTCACAGGGTGTCTGTTGTGGGGAGAAGAAGGGAAGGCGATTGTAAGCCGCTCTGAGACTCCGAGTGAAGGGCAAAGCGGTCAACTTCCTGACACCTCCAGTCACCTGGTGGCTGGCTGGAGAGTCTTTCATCTTTTTCCAGGCCGTTTTCTGGCTCAGAAAGATAAGATGGGTAGAGCTTCGGATAGAGGCGCATATCGTCAAGAGAACAGTTCGCCCTTTCACCTCTGCCACTTTGGTGTAGTGGTTAAGTGTGCGGACTCTAAACTGGGAGGACCGGGTTTGATTCCCCACTCCTCCACATGCAGCTGCTGGTGTGACCTTGGGTCACTCACAAGTTCTCCCAGAGCTGTTCTCTCAAGAGCAGTCCTCGAGAGAGAGCTCTCTCAGCCCCGCCTACCTCCCAGGGTGCCTGTTGTGGGGAGGGGAAGGGAAAGGAGCTTGTAAACCGCTCTGAGACTCCGAGTGAAGGGCGGGGTATAAATCCAATCTCCTCCTCCTCCTCCTCCTGGCAGCCTGTATGATTTTTTTTAATTGGGTCTCCTCACTGTACAGCCTGTACTCAGCATTTAGGATGCAGGGGCATATATGTCAGAAATGATGGTTAGAAAAAATACTTACAGCCACGGCTATTCTTCCAAGCACGTGTTCCGGAATTTTTCTGTACACGTCCAAAGAGCCTCCTGCAGCGACAGACAGCGCACCCGTTAACGTCAAACCAAATGGATTTATTCCAGCACAAGCTTACGTGGGTCAGAGTCCAGCTCTTCAGACGCTATGAAGAACAGGGAATCACACTCCGCGTTTTTATGGGTCAGATCACCAGAGGGGAGGGGACAGGAGGGAGGCACTGGGGGCAGAGAGAGCCGTGGTGCGGATCCCGTAGCGAGACTTTCAGGGGTGACTCTCTGGATGAGGGACTGGAAAGGATGCTGGGGATTATTAGGAAGGGTATTGAAAACAGATCAGCCAATATCATAATGCCCCTGTATAAATCAAAGGTGCGACCTCATTTGGAATACTGTGTGCAGTTCTGGTCACCACACCTCAAAAAGGATATTACAGCTTGGGAAAAAGTGCAGAAAAGGGCAACTCGAATGATAAAGGGGTTGGAACACTTTCCCTATGAGGAAAGGTTAAGGCGCTTAGGGCTCTTTAGCTTGGAGAAACGACGGCTGAGAGGTGACATGATCGAGGTTTATAAGATTATGCATGGGAAAGAGCAGGTAGAGAAAGAGGTACTTTTCTCCCTTTCTCACAAGACAAGAACTCCTTGTGGGCACTCCATGAAACTGCAGAGCGGTCGGGTTAGAACGGATAAGAGGAAGTCCTTCTTCACCCAAAGAGTGACTAACACGTGGAATTCACTGCCACAGGAAGTGGTGGCGGCTACAAGCATGGACGGCTTCAAAAGGGAATTAGATAGGCATATGGAGCAGAGGGCCATCAGTGGCTATTAGCCACAAGGTATAGATAGGGGCTCTGGGGCAAGTGATGCTCTGTCTTCTTGGTGCTTGGGGGGGCCAACGGTGGGAGGGGGCTTCTAATGTCCCGGCCCCACTGCTGGACCTCCTGATGGCACCTGGTATTTTTGGCCACTGTGTGACAGAGTGTTGGACTAGATGGGCCATTGGCCTGATCCAACATATGTTCTTATGATCAGGTTGTTACTTGTAATGGACGATGAGAGAAGTCAGCAGCCGGGCTCTCAGGGGATGCGGATAAACAGCACTGTAACTGAACAACATTTCTCTTGCTAGGCTTAACTCTTTTCCCACTGCTGAGTTAACAGGTCGCTTTTCTAAAGTCCCATACTTGGATCGCTTATGTAATTGTGAGACTGGAGCTGTGGAAACACTCGGCCATCTTCTATTATTCTGTCATCAGTGGTCAATTCCTAGGTCGATTTGGATCACCCCGGTTCTTATCAAACACCGATTGCCTCCTGAACTCTGGGTGGTCCCCAATCTGTTGGCAGATGTTAATTTTGAAACCACTTATTTTGTTTCAAGAAATTTTAACGATCGTTTTATCTGTAAAGCGACAAAAATCTGGCTTGACCCAATTGTAACAGAATTTGGTATACACTGGTATACAGCCAGTTTGGTGTCGTGGTGAAGTGCGCGGACTCTAATCTGGGAGAACTGGGTTTGATTCCCCACTCCTCCACTTGCACCTGGCTGGATGACCTTGGGCAAGCCATAGTTCTGATAAGAGCTGTTCTTGAAAAAGAGCAGTTTCTGTCAAGAGCTCTCTCAGCCCCGCCTACCTCACAGGGTGTCTGTTGTGAGGAGGGGAAGGGAAAGGAGTTTGTAAGCCGCTCTGAGACACCTTTGGGTAGTGAAAGGCAGGGTATAAATCCAATCTCTTCCGTACTCTCTTCTTCTTAATATGATTTAAATGAATTATAGTTTTATTAACGACCTCTGTTTTAACATTTTAGATTTTTTTAGATTTGATTATGTTGATTGTAAATTTTGATTGTAAAGTTCGTGTTTTGAGGCTAATGTTGTATTTCCATGTCTAATCATTGAGCTTAAGACCTTTGGTCACAGAAGCTAATAAACGTAAGAACGAACAACATTGAGCGGAAGAAAAAGCTGTCTGAAGCAGAAAAAAATTCACTGATATCGGCAAAGGGCTGTAGTGTGTTACCTTATTATTATTATTATCTTACTGCTCTGCTGACTCTTGAATTAGGTCAAAATCCAACCCTCTTACAGGCAGGGCTATTTTTGGGCAGGAACGCACAGGGACGGAGTTCCGGCTGGCTCCCGAGTTGACCACGCCCAGCAAGAACTCATTAGCATAATAGGCCACACCCGACAGCAGAAACTCATTAGGATTGGCTACATTAGGGGTGTGTGGTCTAACATGCAAAGGAGTTCCTGCTACAAAAAAAGCCCTCGGTTTTGACAGCAAACAAGGTAAACAGAATAAGAAGGGAAAGGTGGGTGTGGCTGAATGACCACACTTCTGGTAAAAAGGGGGGGTGCGGCCTAATGTGCTAATGAACCATGCTGTCAGGGGTGTGGCCTAATATGCTACTGAGTTTCTGGTGTTGGGTGTGGCCTATTATGTTAATGAGTTCCTGCTGGGCTTTTTCTACAAAAAGAGCCCTGCTTACAGGCAAAGCTGTAGTATGTTCAAGCTGCGCCACTGCACAATCCAAGACATGGGTGGGATCCTAGAGTCACGTCCAACGTGAGTGTGCCCATTTTCCTGCTTCAAACAACTGTCTGTTTGGCACACTGGCATCAGATGAAAACAGTGAGCCTGCCCAGTGGCAGGAAGCCAGCACCGTGTGACCCCCCCGGACCAAACTCTCTCTTTCGTGCCGCTCCAGACCGAATGGCTGGCTGCTGCAGGACAGCCTCTCCTCTCGCACTCCACCACGATAGCTTCCATCATCCGAACAGAAACCCTTTAAAGGTTCCTCCGTGTAAATCAGTTAAGATCGGCCACTGCCTGCCCACGTCACACTCTCTGCTGTGGCTCCCAGGTTGCGGTACGGCCTGCCTGAGGAGGTCCGGAAATAGGGTTGCCAAGTCCTACCTTGGCTCGGAGCGGGGGACTCCCGGGTTGATCCTGGTGCATGTGCGCATGCGCACAGCGCGCCGCATTCACGTCACCAGGAAGTGACATGACCACGCGGGGCACGCTGGGGGCGGGGCCACGACCATTTGAGGGAAAACCATATGCAAATGAGTTATGCAAATGAGCCCCTGCACCTCTTTTTCTAAGAAATTACCCCTGCATACAATTATTATTATTATTAGTCCTACTGCGTGATCCGTTCAGTGTCCTATGCTATACGATTCCTCCCCCACCCCGTCCTCTCTAACCTGCCTTGAGTCTCAGTGAGAAAACCGGACTGGAGAGAATCTAAAGAAGGAAGCGCGCGCACACCCAGGACAATGGGAAAGCTCCTCAAAAAGAAAATGTGTTTTTGGTGACTGAAACATTAAAAGAGGGAACAGCTGTTTTGTCAGTGAAGACAGATTGTATGGAAGTGGCAAGTATCAAACCACAGATAAACCAGCATTTATTTCTGTTCTATTTAAATTTTCAATAAAAGTCAATGCAACTCCACTCAAGGAAAATGTAACATACTTAAGCATCAAGTAATCACAACTCTTGGGCGCCTGATGCATTAAGGCTAACGAATGGGTGTTATTATTTTTCAGATATCTTCTTCCAAATATATATATATATATCAGCACGTTGCACCATCTGCAGAAAAGTGCTTTTGTGAGTCTTTAGGAGACACACGGAACCAACGTTCAAATTGGTTTGCCAATTGCATCGTTTTGAAGAGTCAAGGCTTTCTGAGAATATACATCCCCGCTTCACTCACCATCCATGAATTCGGTACAAATGGAAATCCTGTTTTCTACAAAAAAGGCACCGTAAAAGCCTATGATATAGGATGAATCGCACTGTAAAAAGAAAGGGGGAAAAGAGAATCTGTTAACATGCTTTGGAGATGAATCGCGGAAAGGCAAAATTAAAACCTGACTGCTATACAGTCGTACCTTGTAAAGAATTTCTAGTTCCGACATGATCTGCTTCTGCAGTTCCAGCGTAATATCTAAAGGGATCACCTGAGAATGAGAATTAGACAGTTATTTCTCCACAAAGAGAATCCTTCTTGCAGGTACCACCTTCCCCAGTAGATTCATCTTTACTATCAATCACATTGGGGGGGGGGTTTGTTCGTTTTGGGTCTTTTAGGCCCCCCAGAGCCTAGGATTGCATTGCCTAGGTTGGGTGTGGTGGAATGTGCGTGAAATGACCAACTTTCCTGGTGGGACCTAGGGATGCCACAAATTTCTTAGAGGAGGAGGAGGAGATTGGATTTATACCCCGCCCTTCACTACCTGAAGGAGTCTCAGAGCAGCTTACAATCTCCTTTCCCTCCCCCTCCCCACAACAGACCAACAGACACCCTGTGAGGTAGGTGGGGCTGAGAGAGCTCTTTCGAGGACTGCTCTTGAGAGAACAGCTCTCAGAGAACTTGTGACTGACCCTAGGTCACACCAACAGCTGCATGTTAAAGCACTTGGGGCTCTTTAACTTGGAGAAATGACAACTGAGGGGTGACATGTTCGAGGTTTACAAGATTATTCATGGGACAGAGCAGGCAGAGAAAGAAGTACTTTTCTCCCTTTCTCACAATACAAGAACTCCTTGTGGGCACTCCATGCAATTGCTGAGCAAGTCGGGTTAGAACGGATAAAAGGAAGTCCTTCATCCAAAGAGTGATCAACACATAGAATTCACTGCCACAGGAGGGGGTGGTGACTAAAAGCATGGACAGCTTCAAGAGGGGATTGGATAAACACATGGAGCAGAGGTCCATCCATGGCTATTAGCCACAAGGTATAAATAGGAACTCTTGGTCGGGGGCAAGTGATGCACTATATTCTTGGTGCTTGGGGGGGGGGGGCACAGGGGGAGGGCTTCTGGAGTTCTGGCCCCACTGCTGGACCTCCTGATGGCACCTGGTATTTCTGGCCACTGTGTGACACAGAGTGTTGGACTGGATGGGCCATTAGCCTGATCCAACACAGGTTTCTCTTGTGTTCTTATAGGAACTCTCAGTCTGGGGCAAGGGATGCTCTGTATTCTTGGTGCTGGGTGGCTTCTTTTCTGTTCTTATGAGTGGGGAATCAAACCCGGTTCTCCCAGATTAGAGTCCGCACTCCTAACTACTACATCAAACCGTCTCTCCTGTTCGGCACTTGAACTTACCTCAATCTACACTCACAATCAGACTGTGAGCTGAATGAGGATCTGTGACATGAAAGCTTATAACCAGAGTTAAACTTTGTTGGTCTTAAAAGTGCCACTGGACTCAAACTTTGATTATACATGTTTATGTGGGATCGAAACGTCCTTGGCATACCTAGTTGTTATTATCTAGGAGGCACATTCAACCCTTCTAGGGTCTCAGTATTTATCCATTTTATTTACATTAGGCTATCAAAAACAAATATTTAGAAAATTAAATTCCAGTTCTCTGTAACTGGAAACTCCTAACCGCTTAACCATAGTTGGCTTTGCCCACCTGCTCTCCAGGGGGTCAACGTGCCTGGCAAAATATGCCTCTGGTTCTGGTCCTGCTCCCTGAAGAATATCGTGGGCCCAGGAATACCGTATGTGGCCATCCCTCCCTGGCAGGAAACAGTGTGAGGTTAGCAGCTGCCCACCTCCAAGAACGCAACTAAGTAATCTGAGACCCACACACGCTTTGCGGAATTAACACAACCCGCAGTCCACGACGGCATGCGGCCGGCAGAAAAACGCATGCACGAAAAGAGAAAGAACCCGTTTCCAACCCTACAATTTACAGTATTGACATCTGTCTAAGCGGGGAAAAAAGAGCATAACCAGTTTCTATCAAGAATTTGCTTTAGGGTTATTTATAAAAGCTCTCACTAAACTAAATTGTAACTGTAATAGAAAGGCTGCCAAGAAAACATTTAACACACTTCTCCAGATCAATAGTCATTTGCCAACAATATTCACTTACATTTTTTTTTCCTGGGTGGGAAGCTTAAAACAAAGTAAGCCGCTGGAACACTGTATCAATTCTGCCCATTAAAACAGGAACAAAATTTAAACCTCTGTCATAGCCAAAAGAGATTGCTTTCCGAGACAGATGCAAAAGCTCCATCATGGCTGGAACATTTGCAAAGCGTCGACTGGATTTGTCATCGCGGAGAGAGAGAGAGGACGCGGCATCAGCTCTCATGTGAAAGCGAAAAGGAAAGGCTCTAAGACAGGGGTGTCGAACTCATTTGTTATGAGGGCCAGATCTGACATAAATGAGACCTCGTTGGGCCGGGCCAGGTGGGTCATAAAAGGTAATGCCAGGTAGCGGAGATACAAACTTTATAAAGGACACAAACACAAAGGGTTTTTTTTTTTTTTACTTAAAATAAAAACATGCTTAAAACATGTTGCAATATTTTGTTTATTTAACAGTGTCTGATAACTGACGCCTCTTGCTCTGATTTATTGCATCAAAATGTCTGTGCTGGAGGTATGGTTCCGGAAATTATGGAATCACTATCTTATGGATGCAGTCACAAACAAAATAAATTACATGTCTCAAGGCTCAAACCAAGCTACAGTTACAGGTAAATGGTATCCAGTTCTTGACTACCTTTCTCAACAGCAATATATCTACGCCAGTTTGGTGTCGTGGTTAAGTGCGTGGACTCTAATCTGGGAGAACCGGGTTTGATTCCCCACTCCTCCACTTGCACCTGGCTGGATGACCTTGGGCAAGCCATAACTCTGGCACAGCTGTTCTTGAAAAAGAGCAGTTCCTGTCAGAGCTCTCTCAGCCCCACCTACCTCACAGGGTGTCTAGGTTTGCCATCACTTTCCTCCCAAGGAGCAGGCGTCTCTTAATTTCACGGCTGCAGTCACTGTCTGCAGTGATCTTGGATCCCAGGAACGTGAATTCTGTCACTGCTTCCATGACTTCCCCTTCTATTTGCCAAGGAGTGATGGGGCCGGATGCCAGGGTCTTAGTTTTGTCAAGCAAACTTTTGCGCTCTTCTCTTTCACCCCCAGCAAGAGACTCTTTAAGCCCTAATGGCAGAGTGGTATCGTCTGCATAATGTCAATTACTCAGAATGCAGAAGTAGATAAAAGGATCCACGAGTGTGACATGTGTTTATATTCAGGTATCTAATATTTATTTATTTACGTTATTTATAGTCTACCTATCCATCAGGGATTCAAGGTGGATTACACAGACTGGAGTCTGTACAATCGACAAACTGGGACATTCAGTAGCTGATGCATTAGGATTTTAGAAAACTCTGGAACGACCAGAAAGAACTGAAGCGCAGCAAAAGTATTCACACGACACATTAAGTGGTTCAGAAACTATGTAACAGGATCCTAATTACAGTAGGCTATGCACAGCAGTATATAGAGACTGCACTCCCTAGTCATTTATCATAGCAAGTTTGAGAAACCATTTTGTACAGTGCAATCCTATTATCCATGCACATTTACCTGTATGGGAAAGAATCAAAAAGAGGACTGATATGGAACTTTTTTTGGGGGGGGGGAGGGGACAACCGTGTGTCTGTCCTATTCCCCAGTTTTTAACAGGTGATGCTGTGCCCCCCCACCTCGCATCAAGGAAGCGTCGGCACGGAAACTGCAAGGAGTCCCCGGCCCCCAATCACTGTGGCACAGAACGTTTCAAGGGGAAAGGGTTAACCCTACAAGCAATACCTGAGCCCATTTTCTCCACTTCTCTCCCACACCTCCAGGACAAATAAGGATGAGTTGTCAAGTTAAATACAAGCAGTCAAGTGACTGAATTATAATTTACTCGGTGCTCAATTTAAATTAGTGAGAGGCTATTAAAATATACAGTATAGCGATGGCAATTCATCACCGGCTGTCATGGATGACTTCATCTATTTGCCGGATTGGTGTGCATACCACTAAAGGGAACGGGAGCAAAATCACAGGTCAAATTAAGCAGCAACTCCATTTTAATTCACTTATTTAATCTGCGGCGACATAATTGTCTTTTACAGTATGTACAACTCAGAGGAAATTTGGGAGTATGATAGTCAGTATACAAATGATTAATCAAATGGACCATTTAAATGCTAGGTTAAGAGCAGGGGAGATTTTGTGGCGGCTGCGGAGCGGCATCCAGCCACCGAGCGCCTGGTGGCTTGTGGAGGGGCTGCCTTTGCCTCCTCTGGGAAGCTTCATTCACCGGAAAGCAAGGCCAGGTGAGAAAACACTCCATGGACAGAGAGGCCTTTGAGAGGACACAGAGCCTACAAAACGGGAGTTCTGGTGTATTCTTCTCCCTCCAGCCGCTTCCAGAGAGCCAGTTTGGTGTCGTGGTTAAGTGTGCAGACTCTAATCTGGGAGAACTGGGTTTGATTCCCCACTTCTCCTCCACTTGCACCTGCTGGATGACCTTGGGCAAGCCGTAGTTCTGATAAGAGCTGTTCTTGAAAAAGAGCAGTTTCTGTCAAGAGCTCTTTCAGCCCCGCCTACCTCACAGGATGTCTGTTGTGGAGAGGGAAAGGGAAAGGAGTTTGTAAGCCGCTCTGAGACACCTTTGGGTAGTGAAGGGCGGGGTATAAATCCAATCTCCTCCTCCTCCTCCTCCTCCTCCACCTTCTTCTTCCAGTTTCTGCCAAATCTAGGCAATGCTCAATTCCTTCTCAAGACCAGCGTTCCCTCTAAGCTGAGTTAGTGTGAGCTAGCTCACAATTTTTTAGCCTCCGGGTCACTCATTTTTGCCTCGGCTCAGGAAGGATGGCTCCTGAGCAAACTAATGTATGCAGTAGCCAAATTGCTCGCTCACAACTTTAATGCCAGCGGCTCACAAAGTAGAATCTTTGCTCACAAGACGCCACAGCTTAGAGGGAGCCTTGCTCAGGACACGAAGATTTTGAACTGAGCTCGTCAGCCCCTCCTTTCTTCAAAGTCTCGTCCCATCTGTGTAGAATCAGTCTTGACCTCTCTGCCCTCATTGTAAGGCACGCCAGCTCTCCAACGGGCAACCCCACCCTTTTCAATATTTCTTATGAATGATCATGACGAAGGGGTGGAGGAGACACTCATTAAATTTGCAGATGACACCAAACTGGGAGGAACAGTGAACACACCAGAAGAACATAAGAACATAAGAGATGCCAATGTTGGATCAGGCTCACACCATGTTGGATCAGGCCAAAGGCCCATCCAGTCCAACACTGTGTCACACAGTGGCCAGAAATACCAGGGGCCATCAGGAGGTCCAGCAGTGGGGCCAGGACACTAGACGCCCTCCCACTATTGACCCCCCCCCCAAGCACCAAGATGACAGAGCATCACTTGCCCCAGAGTCCCTATCTATACCTTGTGGCTAATAGCCACTGATGGACCTCTGCTCCATATGCTTATCTAATTCCCTTAACTACCAGAAGACAGAGGCAGAATTCAACGAGATCTGAACACCCTGGGAAAGTGGGCGGATGTGAACAAGATGCAATTTAACAAGGATAAGTGCCGAGTTCTACATCTGGGTAACACACATACTGGATGGCCCCTTCCAACTCTGTGATTCTGAGATTCCAAGGGAGGGAGGGAGCAGGTGGTCCATTCTCTGCCACAGTCAGGAACCACCACGGAAGGCAGCCACGTGGCTAACATGGTAGGCGAGAGCCAAACGCCACAGGCGGCTGGTGGGGCCTCTGCTTGGTCCTGTACAGCTTCTGACTCTTGCGTGGCCTCTCAGATCTGACAAGCGCTGGGGGAGATCTCAGAACAGAAAAAGAGCCCCGCTGGATCAGGCCAAAGGCCCCCCACGTCTAGCGTTCTGTTCAGACAGTGGCCGACCAGCTGCCTCGAGGAAGCTCACAGGAAGGGTGACGGCAACAGCAGCCTCCTGCCCAGCAGCTGGTCCAGAGAGACATGCTGACTCCGGTACTAGCTGCTCTCCCTGCTTCGCCCTGCCCTACCGACCAGCTTGACCTTCCATCATACATATATACATGGACACAAATGAAGCTGCCTCCTGCTG